AATACCCCAAAAATAATCAAAAAATAGTTTAAAAATAGTCTGGGGACTATTTTTTGAATATTTGTTTGACCTCTTTGGGGTATTTGTGGGGTACTTTTTATATTTTTCGTCGAAAATCCCCCTGTAGGGGGACAGGCCCGACAAGAAAATAGCGGCCACGGCGCCCTCTCGAGAACCGAAAACTGACAGTTCACTCATCGACGTGCCACTGTGGGAGTCTCTGTCCATCCCCGTGCAGTAAGGATATGCGCGGTGAGGATGCCAGGGGCCTCGGAGGGCCACGCCGGCGTGTTTTCCGAGCGAGGCTGGCCGCCGAGGGTCGCCGAGGATGGGCCGAGGAGGGGGCAGGGATATACAAGGGGGCACCCTTGGGAAGGCTGGCCAGCCTCACTACGCTTATGTCGGGCCTGTCCCCCTGCAGGGGGATTTTCGACGAAAATTACAGAAAGCACCCCACAAATACCCCAAAGAGGTCAAACAAATATTGAAAAAATAGTCCCCAGACTATTTTTAAACTATTTTTTGATTATTTTGGGGGTATTTTTTGTTTTTTGTCGAAAATTCCCCTGTATGGGGGACAGGCCCGACTTGATACTGCGCGGGTCGACTGTGGCGTGTCGCACCGAACGCCCCTGGACCAGGAGCGGCGGAGCGCCACGCCATCCGAAAGTTCCCGACCCTGTGCAGCACCCCGCAGTTGCAGACAAGAGCGAGGGGCGGGCGCGGGGTGGGTCCCGGGTGGGTCGCGGGGTGGGTCGCGGGTGGGTCGCGGGTGGGTCGCGGGTGGGGTCGCGGGTGGGTCGCCGGTGGGTCGCGGGTGGGTCGCGGGTGGGTCGCGGGTGGGACGCCGACAACAAACAACGCAACAGCAACAATCCGCACCGCGGAACCCCACTTCAACCACGCACCCAGGGACAGTGAATGACCGTTCGGCCCCCTCACTCTGATCTCTGCCCACCGACTTCACGTCATGCACGGCAGCGCCGCATGCGCACGGGGGCGACAGGCGCGCCGCTCGCATCCCAGGCTGAACGGAGGGGGACGGCGGGGAGCGTCCGAGAGGGGGGCTTCCAAGAGGGGGGGGTAGCAAATCAAGGCCCGAGGCGTCTGCGTGGACGACGAGGGGGGGGGCCCGGGAACGCATTGAAATAAGAAGAGGGGACCATAAAGTCAGTGGAGACATCCTGGCCCCGACCAGGATATCCACCCCCCTAGTCATCCCCCCCCTGTGCCGCCCCCGATGCTCTCGCATCTGTCGGACGGCCCTGGGGTGAGACGAAGGCAGAAACGAGACAAAATCGGACCGACTGAAATCGGAAGTATCTGAGAATCGGCGTGGAGGATGTATCGGGCGCCGCGGTCGTTTCAGAGCTTTCCAAGACGCTCTGAGAGCGTTCCGGAACGCTCTGGACCGATGTATCTCGACTCGAGGCCTGCCTGAAGCAGTCCCCAGACGCGGAAAAAGGCGAGCAGCGCGCGCGACTGTTTCGAGTCGCCAGAGGTCAGGACCGGCGAAGCTGTGGCTCGGGCACGCGGGACGGCGAAGCTCGGAAACGGGAACTTCTGGCCAAGATGCCAGGCCTCCTCCTCCTCCTCCTGTTCCGCCTCCTCCTCCTCCTCCTCCTTCTCCTCCCCCTCCTCCTCCTCCTCCTCGTCCTCCTTATTATCCTCATCCTCATCCCCTCTCCTCCTCTACCCTCCTTCTCCTCCTCCTTCTTCGTCACCCACTATGCTTGAGCACACCTCCTCCATCCTGATTATCTCTTCTCTTTCGCCTTCTCCGTCCCTTAATCATTGACTTCCTCCTCTCCACTGCCTGCCGCGTCGCCTCTCCCTCTCTTCCGTCCACCCCCCCCTCTCCAAATACTCCGTCCTCCTTCCTCCTCCTCCTCATCATCATCCTCCTTCTCCTCCTCCCTCCTCCTGCTTCCTCCTCCTCATCCTCTTCTTATGATTATTATTCGCATCATTATTATTCGTCGCACTAATTCTATTGAGACGATTATGAGTAGTAGTAAACAATGGTTTAGAATTGCTAGTAAGAACAGTATTAATAATAATCGTGATATCAGGACTCGTATTAACGATCTTCTTATAATTCACACAACTACATACTATGTATTAGTGTTAGTATGAGTATAAGTATTAGTATCAGCATTAGTATTAGTATTAGTATTAATATTCGCATTCGCATTCGCATTCGTATTCGCATTCGCACGCATTCGCATTCGCATTCGCATTCGTAATAGTATTAGTATTAGTATTAATATTAGTATTAGTGTTAGTATTAGTATTAGTAGTAGTATTAGTATTAGTATTAGTATTAGTATTAGTATTAGTATTAGTATGAGTATTAGTATTAGTATTAGTATTAGTATTAGTAGTAATATTAGTATTAGTATTCATATTGGTATGAGTATTAGTATTAGTGTTAGTATTAGTATTAGTATTAGTATTAATATTAGTATTAGTATTAGTATTAGTATTAGTATTAGTATTAGTATTAGTATTAGTATTAGTATGAGTATTAGTATTAGTATTAGTATTAGTATTAGTATTAGTATTAGTATTCGCATTCGCATTCGCAGTCGTATTCGTATTAGTACTTGTAATAGTATTAGTAGTAGTATTAGTATTAGTGCTCGTATCCGTATCAGTATTCGTATTATTAGTAGCAGCATCAATATTAGTAATAGTATTAGTATTAGTATGCTCACTCGCTTTATGATTATTCTTGTTCCTATTACCAGTCTGAGTATGACTCCCATGATTACCAGTGGTAGTGCTATCATTCGTAGTAGTAGTTGTTGTTGTTTCCGTTGTATGGTTCTATAATCGTCAGCACTAGTATTCGCAATAGCAGTACTATCATTTTGTTTGGTAATATGCTTATTATTCGTCTTGTTCGTAGTATTAACAGTATTCGTAGTCGCGTTATTAGTATTCGGTATGTTGTGCTTCGTATCATTAGCATGAGTATTGGCATTAGTATCATGATGATGCTTATTAGTGTTTAGGTTTGGTGGTATGAGCCTTCGTCTTAGTTGCAGTACTAGTATTATTATTAGTAGTAGCAGTAGTAGCAGTAGTAGTAGTAGTAGTAATAGCAGTAGTAGTAATAGCAGTAGTAGTAGTAGTAGTAGTAGTAGTAGTAGTAGTAGTAGTAGTAGTAGCAGTAGTAGTAGTAGTAATAGTCGTAGTCTGCATGTTATTATTCGTCATCCTCCTCCTCCTCCTCCGCCTCCTCATCCTCTTCCTCCTCCTCCACCTCCTCTTCCTCCTCTTCCTCCGCCTCCTCCTCCGCCTCCTCTGTCTCCTCCTCCTCCTCCTCCTGCTCCTCCTCCTCCTGTTCATCCCCTCTCGTCTTCCTCCTCGCTCCCCATCCCTCCCTCATCCCTCCTTCTCATCCTCCTCCTCATCAGCATCATCATCCTTCTCCTCCTCCTCCTCGTCCTCGCATCATCCTCATATTGATCACTATCCCAAGCATGAGCACTGTCAGTACAATCATGATCACTACCACGATCTGCACCAGAATGGTACTCACAATCGATTCATCATCCGTCCTCGGTCCTCTCTTGTCTCCCCCCCCCCCCATTCCTCTGAGAAACCCCGCCAGCCTGGCCGCGCACAACGTCGTTCTTCTTAACGCCCTTGAGCATTATTCCACACTGGTCCCCCGACTGGCCCTCGTCCAGTGTCTTGTGGAACATCTCTATGCCGACGACCTGCGCCTTGGTGGGCTTGTCCTGTTGGAAGCCCAAACCAAAACCGTCCTCCGACTACGACTCCTCCTCATCATCGGTTAAGGGAGGAGGGGGAAGGAAGCACGGGCGGAAGAGGAACCAGGTAGTAGGGGCAGGAAGAGGGAGAAGGGAGGGGGAGGAGGGGCAGGAGGGGTAGGAGGGGCAGGAGGGGCAGGAGGGGGGTAGGAGGGGAGCGACGGACGGACTGACGAGGGGAGAGGAAGGGCGGCGCAGGTGGAGGGGCACGGGCGATGAAGAGGACAACAGAGAGTGGGGGAAGAGGCGGGGAGAGAGGGGGGATGCGGGAGGAATGGACGGGCAGGCGGCAAGGGAGTGGAGGGAGGGGCGGCGAGGTGAGGGGGGGGGGGGCAAAAGTGCAGGAAGGGAAGGTAAGAGGGAGCGCGGGAGTTGAAGGGACGTGTGGACAGCGGGAGGGGGGCCGAGGGAAGAGGGGGAGCAGGAAGGCGAGGGGGGGGCGAGGATGAGCGAGAATTTTGACACGGCAGCGTAAACAGCCAGAGTGGTAGCGGGGGTGACGCTCAAGTGGCTGCATGCCTTGGGAGTACGTGCGCCGCCCGTTGCCAGGAGATAATGGCAGCGCCGCCCCTCAACCCGATAGAGAGACGTAAGAGGCAGGAGGGTAGGAGGAGAGAGGAGGACGCAAGGAGGAGGCAGGTGGGAGGAATGATGAGGGAGGGGAGAGGAGGGAGGCAAGCCAGGCGCGACCGCGCCACATCTGACATCCTGCCCCATCCCTCACGTCCCATCTCATTGCGCCGTGTGGCTTCTCTGGAACACCCAAATGGACCTGGAGCACCCAAATGGACACCTTCGTGTCACGCAGCGCAATCTGAAAAGGGGTGCTGTGCACGTGGGGGGGGGGGAGGTGGCGGATGAGCAGGCGGATGCGCAGGAGGAAAGGTGAGGGGAAGGAGGGGGGGCGAGGAGGAACTGCAGCAGCAAGCGCAGGAGAGGTGGGAGGAGCAGGAGGGGGCCAGGGGAAGGAGGGGGGCGGGGACGTGACGGGGGCGGCCACGACGAGGAAGCGCTCGGGCCCAGCAGGGTGGCCCGCGCTGGGGCGAAAGTGCCGCTCTGCACGACGGGAGCCCCGCGAGGGTCCTGACATGGGGCCAGCGCCGCAGCGGCAGCACCGCTTCGAGGCAACGGAAGCGTTCCGATCTGAGAGAAAGTATCGGAGAGGCCGAAGTTTGAAATCCCGTGCACGAGACAGTGCGCGGTGGGTGCGGGGGGGGGGTCCGTGGCCATCCTCGGGGGAGGGAGAAGCGTGGCATCAAAATCAAGGAAATGCACGGCGGTGAGAGGAGAGAGGTGGGAGGAAGTAAGGAGGGGAAGAAGGTAGAAGGACGATGACGAATGGCGGAGGACTGGGAGTGAAGCAGGGGGGAGGATGAAGGGAGAGAAGCAAGATCGAGCAGACGCGCGGTCCTTCACCCCGACTATCTCTACGGTGTCGCCAGACTTCACCCTGGCACGGCAAAGTGACAACTGAAGAAGCCTAGCGGCAAAAGCAAGACGTGCACTCCTGTCTCTGACGTTTGGCTCGCGGCCCGCAGGTCCCTCCTCCTCAGCACATTCCCTCCCAGGTCCTGCCGTCCCTATCATCGCTCATTGTCGTGTCTTGTCTCTCCCATCGTCGATCCTCCCCTCCCCTCCCCTCTGTTCCTACCCATCGTCGTTCCGTCCCTCCCCTCTATTCCTCTCTCCCATCGTCGTGCATATCCCATCGTCGTTCCTCTCCTCCCCTCTATTCCTCCCCATATTCTCTCATCAATCGCATCAGTACCATCGATTATCAGTTATCTGACCTCTCTCCTCTCTGCCCTCCCCCCCTCTTCAGCACGCTCCACTTATGCCCGCTCCCCTCGCCTCGCTCCGACCCTTGTATCGTATCGGTTCCCCCTCCAGCTACACCAGGCCCGCCTCCTGACCCAGGTCTGGCGTATCACATCCGCCTCCTCCTCCTCCCTCCCCTCCTTCCCCTCCTCCTGCTCACCGACACGGTCACCATCCTCCTCCTCCTCCTCCTTCTCCTCCTCATCATCATCATCATCAGCAGCAGCATCAGCATCAGCATCAGCATCATCAGCATCAACATCATCATCATCATCATCATCATCATCATCATCATCATCATCAGCATCATCATCATCATCAGCATCATCATCATCATCAGCATCATCACCATCATCGTCATTATCATCATCATCGTACTCTAATCAGCATCAGCATCAGCATCAGCATCATAATCAACATCGTCATCATCATCATCATCAGCAGCAGCATCATCAGCAGCATCGTTATCGTCGTCATCGTCAGAACCACCACCACAACCGCCAACAACATCAGCATCGCCATCATCGCCATCAACACCATCAGCATCATCATCCTCATCTTCATCATCATCAGCAGCAGCATCATCATAGACACCACCAGAATCCTCATCATCATAGACACCACCATCATTATCATTGTCATCATCAGCAGCGTCGTTATCATCGTCACCATCAATATCATCATGATAATCATCACTAACATCATCAACTTCATCAGCACCATCGCCACCATGATTATCATTTTACTATTCATCATCGTCCGCATCATCATCATCATCATCATCATCATCATCATCATCATCATCATCATCGTCGTCATCATCAGCAGCAGCATCGTCATCGGCGTCAGCATCAGCATCAGCATCAGCATCTACATCTGCATCAGCATCTGCATCTGCATCAGCATCAGTATCATGATCATCATCATAATCAGCATCCATCAGCATCATGAGTATCATCGTAATCATCGGTATCGTCAGCATCGTCCGCATCATCATCATAACCATAACCATCGTCGTCAGCATCATAATTATCATCATCGTCATCATCAAAATTATCATCATCGTCATCATCATCACCAAAACCACCATCACTGCTACCACCACCATCATCATCAGCAGCAGCGTCATCATCATCATCAACAGCAGCAGCATCAGCATCATCATCATCAGCAACATCACCATCATCACCTTCTTCATCAGCAGCATCATCATCGTCACCATCATCATCATCATCATCATCATCATCATCATCATCATCATCATCATCTCCAGCATAATCATCATCATCATCAGCAGCATCATCATCATCATCATCATCGTCATCATCATCGTCATCATCATCATCATCATCATCATCATCATCATATCATCCTGATATCATCAGCGCAATAATCGTCAGCAGCACCATCACCACCACAGCCATCGTCATCATCGACAATGTCGTCGTCATCATCTTCCTTATCATCATCACCACCACCATCGTCATCATCGCCATCTCCACCCCGCACCACGCACACGTCTGAAATCGCTCCCTCTGAAGTTGCTCTCCGGTGTTCTGCTCGACCTCCAGACGGCCAGGATGGCCTCCAGGACAGCTTCCAAGACAGCACGGCCCAAGATGGCCGAAGACCGCTCAAGAGGCTCTCAAGAAGACGGCCTCAAGACAGCCCAAGAGGCTTCTCAGACGGCCCAAGAGGGCTCCAATAGGCCGGAGTCTGGGGAGGCAAAAACCATTGACTTCCTTAGGTTTTGAAATACTGTGAGGTTCTCAATTTTCTCGGGCTGCGACCTCCCCAGATAGCGCAGTTGGCCTCCTAAGTGGCTCCAAGACAGCCCAGGAGGCCCCGAAGAGGTCCAAAAGAGGCGCCCGAAAGGCCCCCCGAAAGCCCCAAGCGGCCCACAAGAGGCTGGAAGAGACCCCCAAGAGACACCCAAGACGCCCCAAGATGCTCTGAAGACCGCCAAGAGGCCCCCAAGACGTCCAGCGCCAAGAGGCCCCGAAGGCGCCCCCAGAGGCCCCCAAGAGCCGCCTAGAGCCCCGCAAGACGCCCCGAGAAGCCTCCAAGAGACCCCGAGAAACATGCCACGAGACTCAGACAGGCATCCAGGAAGCCTCTGGCCCGCGTAGGCTCGCCGAGATCTCCACATGATGCCACGTTCCCACGACCTGGGCAACTACCCTGGGCATCTTTCCTGGATGGGCTGGTGGGGAGAAAATCTAGACTCTTTCCTGCTACGCTGTTGCACAGGCACGGTGGCAGGGTTTGCCACAGGCAGGTGGAAACTCACCATCCACATCATCATCATCATCATCATCATCATCATCATCATCACCACCACCACCACCACCATCATCACCACCACCACCACCACCACCACCATCATCATCATCATCATCATCATCATCATCATCATCATCAATCATCATCATCATCATCATCATCATCACCACCATCATCATCATCATCATCATCATCATCATCATCGTCATCATCGTCATCATCGTCATCATCGTCATCATTGTCATCATCGTCATTCTCACAACCACCACCACCACAACAGCCAACAACATCAACCTCGCCATCATCGCCATCACCACCACCAGCAGCATCATCACACCACCACCAGCATCATCAGCAGCAGCAGCACAGCAGCAGCAGCAATCGTCGCCGTCATCGTCATCGTCATCGTCATCGCCATCGTCATCAACATATCACCACGGTCATCATCACCAGCATCATCATCATAAGCACCGTCATCACCACCATCATCATAATCATCATAATAATGATCATCAGCATCATCATCAGCATCATCATCCGCATCACCATCATCATCGTCATCACCATCAGCACCATCATCACCATCATCATCACCATCATCATAATAGTCGAAAGCATTAGCATCGCCATCATCACCAACGCAGCATTGCGAACATCATGTGACCAGCACCATCATTATCACCATCGTCAGCATCGTCAACATAACCGTCACCGTCATCGTAATCGTCATCGTAACAAACACAGCAATTCGCCGGCCCAACGGGCCAGAGGCGTGCTAAGATCTCCGGTAACTGGTAAACAGTATTTCTGGTTCGCGCGCGCGGGGCGGCCCCTGGGGATCCCTGGATCAGAAGTACCCCGAGAGGAGCCCGGGACACACCCGGGACACGCCCGGGAACTCCCCCAGATCCTCCAGGATCGCCCCACGAGGGCCCCAAGAGGCCCCAAACACAATCCAAGAGAGGTCCGAGACGCCCGAAGATCGCTCCACGGCGCCCAAGATGGCCTCCAGACGGCCCAAGAGGTCTCCAAGATGACCCAACAAGCCTCCAAGATGCCCCAAGAGGCCTCCAGGAGCACTCCCAAGAGGGCCCCAAGAGGCAAACATCAATGCTTTTTCTGAGGTTTTGGACGGATTTTGGCGTTTCCCCTAAACGGCTCAAGAGGCCTCCAAGATCGCCCCAAGAGGGCCCAAGAGGCCCTCAAAAGGACCCCAAGACGGCCCAAGACAGCTCCAAGACGGCCCCAGAGGCCTCCAAGACGGCCCAAGAGGGCCCCAAGAACGCCCCCAACACGGTCCAAGAGAGGTCCGAGACGCCCGAAGATCGCTCCACGACGCCCAAGATGGCCTCCGGACGGCCCAAGACGTCTCCAAGATGGCCCAAGAAGCCTCCAAGATGCCCCAAGAGGCCTCCAAGAGAACTCCCAAGAGGGCCCCAAGAGGCAAAAAACTGTGCTTTTCCTTTGGTTTTGGACAGATTTGGGCGTTTTAACCTTTTCGGTTCCCCGACGCCCCTAAACGGCTCAAGAGGCCTCCAAGATCGCCCCAAGAGGGCCCAAGAGGCCCCCAAGAGGGCCCCAAGACGGCCCAAGACGGCTCCAAGACGGCCCCAGAGGCCTCCAGGACGGCCCAAGAGGGCCCCAAGAACGCCCCCAACACGGTCCAAGAGAGGTCCGAGACGCCCGAATATCGCTCCACGACGCCCAAGATGGCCTCCAGACGGCCCAAGACGTCTCCAAGATGACCCAAGAAGCCTCCAAGATCCCCAGGAGGTCTCTTCCCCCGGCTCGAACGGCCCCACAGCGGGATACCCCGGGTAACACGCCCCCACGATGGCACCAAAGCAGTCAAAAAACTGCAAACACCTAGAACCCCCATGAAAAAACAACAACAAGTTGATCGACAACTACACAGCTCCCGACGCCGCAGCTCCACACTGCAAACGCCCACTCGGACAGGCGACCACGGTGCGACATTATGGGCCGGCGGAATGAGCGAAGCGATTAAATAATTAACGTCCTCGCAGTCACAATCATCATCACAAGTATCGTCATCCCCGCCAAAACGCAATCCATCGTCATCCCCACCACAACCATCATTGGCAGCATTCACCATTGTCGTCGTTGTCATCATCACCACCATCATCAGCACCACAATCGCCATCACCACCCTCGTCATCGCCACCACCACCACCAACACAATCATCAGCAGCACCATCGTCATCGTCATCTTCGTCATCGCCATCACCATCACCATGGTCATCATCATCGGCACCATCTCGGTCATCGGGATCATCGTCCCTGTCATCATCATAATCGCCGCCGTCATATAACTCTCGCTCGCAATCCTTAGGGCATTCAATATCGTCATTGTTCTCGTCACCGCTGCCACCACCTTTAATACGTAAGAGTTACCGCACCATAGCTGGCACCATCATGATCGAAACCATCATCGACATTGCTATCGCTCTTCCTCCTCCAACAACAACTGCTACTACTACGACTACTACGACTACTACTACTACTACTACTACTACTACCACCACCACCACTACCACTACCACTACCACTACCTACAACTACTACTACTACTACTACTAATAATACTACTACTACTACTACTACCGCTGCTGTTACTACTGTTACTACTACTGCTACTGGTACTTCTACTGCTACTGTTACTACTGCCGCTGCTGCTGCTGCTGCTACTACTACTACTGCTGCTGCTGCTGCTACTACTGCTATTGCTTCGAAGGCTACTACTACGACTACTACTACTACTACTACTACTACTACTACTACTACTACTACGACTACTACTACCAATACTACTACTACTACTACTACTACTACTACTACTACTACTACTACTGCTGCTACTACTACTACAAATAATAATCATACGACGACTACCACTACTACTACCACTACCACTACTACTACTACTACTACTACTACTACTACTACTACTACTACTACTACTGCTGCTGCTGCTGCTGCTGCTGCTGCTTCTACGACTACTACTACTACTAAGAATATAAAGTAATACAAATATGTCTTCTACTACTACTACTACTACTACTACTACTACTACTACTACTACTACGACTACGATTACTACTACTAAAACCATTACTCTATACTGAAAAGTATACGAAGGTGGCGTCTGGCGTGACACGAAGGCGATGGGTGACCCTACTACTACTACTACTACTACTACTACTACTACTATTACTACTACTACTACTACTGCTACGACGACTACTACTACTACTACTACTACTACTACCACTACGACTACTACTACCACAACGACTACTACTACTACTACTACTACTACTACCACTACGACTACGACTACTACTACGTACCAACTACTACTACTAGTACTACTACTACTACTACTACTACTACTACTACTACTACTACTACTACTACTACTACTACTACTACTACTATTACTACTTCTACGTATACTTATACTTATACTTATACTTCTACTATTACTACTACTACTACTACTACTACTACTACTACTACTACTACTACTACTACTACTACTACTACCACGACTACGGCTACTACTACTACTACTACTACTACTACTACTACTACTACTTCTAATAATACGACTAGTACGACTACTACGACTACCACTACTACTACTACTACTACTACTACTACTACTACTACTACTACTACTACCCACTACTATCTACTACGACTACGACTACGATTACGACTACGACCATGACTACGATTACGACTACGACTACGACTACGACTACGACTACTACTACTACGACTTCTACTACTGCGACTGCTGCTACTACTACTACTACGACTACTTCTATTACTTGCTGTGTTGAACGGACATAGACTGAACAAATGTCCCGTCTATGACAACTCCTGCTACACCTCCCCCTCCTTCACCTCCTCCTCCGTGTCATCATCACCTTTATCGCAAGCACTATCGTGAGCATCATCCATCATCCTCGTCGTCAACGACATTGTCAACAGCATCATCGCCATCATCAGCAGCAGCAATGAGGCCTCGCCTGGTCGGTATCCCAACCGCCCAAAATGAGTTTCCGTGCACGGTGAACGCCAGAATGACGTCGCACAGGAGTTCCACCCAACGGAAGCCCGCCACCTCGCCTTCGGCACGTTGGGGCGCATCGTAATGCGGCGTTTTCATGCTGGACTTCTGCAGTGTTTGTAATGTCGACACCCGTCCCTCGGCGCACGCATACGCAGAACCCGTCCGGCCTGATACTGCTCTCCAGTGCCTTTTGAATACTCCGGGCGGGTTCAAGACAGCGAAACGACCCAGAACAGCTGCAAGACGTCCCCCAAGTCCATTCAAACACGGACCCAAGAGCCACTGCGGGCTCCAATATCCACCCGAGATGCCAAGAGTGGCCTCGATGAGCCTCCAAGAGAAGCCCCAAGAAGCCTCCAGCGAGGCCCTGATCGGCGAGAAGCATTGGAAAGACTCCAAAGAACATCAACGCGCTGTTGCTGTTCATCCTGTGATTTTCGGCTTCAGATCGGGGGCTCCCAAGAGGGCCCAAGAGGCCCGCAACAAGAAGCCCCCAAGAAGACCCCAGGCCTTCAAGAGGGGGGGGAGCAAGAAGGGAGGAGGAGGAAAAGGATGAGGAAGGAGGAAGAAGGAAGGAGGAAGGAAAGAAGCAGTGGACAGGGGCGGCCAAGAACAACGCCACTTCAAGCAGAGCGCAGAACTGGAGCGGGTCCTACCAACCTCCAGTTCTTCCTGCTGCGCTGCTGCGGTGGCAAGGCGGCGGCATTTGCAACGGGCAGCTGGATTGCCTTCAGCGCGCGGCGGCCGCCCGGCCCTTCCCGAGCTGGCAAGCGCGTGGCACGTCATGTGCGCTTCGCGTGGAAGGCATACATCAACGTGGACGGACGCTTCGGAAACTGTGAGTTGCGAAGATGTGTCGGCGTTGATATAGGTTATTACGGGGGGAAGGCTGGAAGCGGGTGGGGCGCGCTGATTCGCCTTAGCTGCCTAGCTGGGCTCAGACTCATCCTGCTGCACCTCGACCTCCTCCTCCTCCTCCTCCTCCTCCTCCTGCTCTTCCTCCTCCTCCACCCCCATTCCTTCTCCTTGTGAATAGCTCTTCCGTGTCGCACCCCGAGGCCAGTCGGAAAGGCGGGCTAGGCGTTTCGCCTGAGACGTCCTTACCGTTTATGATCCTGAAGCTTCAGAACTGACGACAGCTTCACAGATGGAGGGTGGGCATACTCAAAATGCGGGTCTCGCCTTAGCGCCGCGCACTCCCGTCTTGACAAATTGAAAGAGTCCACGAATTGAGGGCGGGCCGTTTTCAAAATGTGGCTCTCCCCTTACCGCCACGCACACTCGCCTTCAGAAATGCAAGAGCTTCACGCATTGAGGGCGGTGCCTTTTCAAAATGTGACTCTCGCCTTAGCGCCGCGCACACTCGTCTTAAAGATTTGCAAAAGGTTCACGGGTTCCCACGGTCAACGTACCAAAGAACAGCGTCAGGGAGCCGTTCAGGATTGCCAGGGCGAGAAACAGTTACGAGGATTCGCGGCGTTGAAGTCGCAGGAGAGGTGTTCTGGCACGACTCAGGATCGCCAAGTCGCAACAGTCATGTTGATTCGTGGCGTTGGAGTCCAGAGAATGGATGGTGTTCTGGCACGCTTCCGGATCTTCAAACGGTTGTCTCCCAACGGGGCACTTCCCTCAGTGGAAAAGAACCCTTGTAGGGGCCTATGAAGAGGGAGCTTGGAGGGAGGGCGCATTCCAACATCCTTGATGATGTCTTGGGTTTACACTGGTCCTCCTCCTCCTCCTCCACCACCACCTCCTCCTCCTCCTCTCGCATCCCCCTCCTCTCGCATCCCCCGTCCCCCTTCCTTCTGCCCCTGCCCCCACCCCCTCACCGTGCCCCCTGCCCCGCCCCCGAGGGCGCCTCCCCCGCTCGATGCGGCCGGTGGCAACGGTCCCCTTGCCGGTGATGCTCATCACGGACCTCGGGAAGGACGGGCGCCGACTGGCGGCAGAGGCGGCGGCGGCCCCGGCCTCGCATCCAGCTCCTGACCTCTCGCTCCCGCCCATGCCGCGGCGCTGTGCCCAGTTGTGCCCGTCGATAGACGCCTCCCCATGCTCCTGTCGCGAGAGAGAGAGGGGGAGAGAACATGGCATTACCTTGTGCCTATGTCCTGCCGGCCCCCCCTCTTTCTCTCTCTCTCTCTCTCTCTCTCGCTCTCTCTCTCTCTCTCTCTCTCTTTCTCTTTCCCCCCCTGTCCCTCTCCTCTCTCGCTCTCTCTCCCCCTCTCTCTCTCTCTCTCACTCCCTCGCTCGCTCTCTCTATATATATATATAGATCGATGTATATATATATATATATATATATATCCCTCTCCGCCACCGTGCCCTTGAGGCAAAAGTTGAAGTGTCCGCAGGTCCGTGGCCTAGTCCCGCAGGCTTGTCCTCATTCCCGAAAATAATTTACTTATTTACAAGGGCCCCGACCCAAGATTACCAAAATCTTCTGGGGCTTGCCGCGTGTCCCCTGGGTTCCCCGCGTGGCAACTTGGGCCCAGGGCGCGTTCCCGCATGTTTTTCCTAGGGCCAAGAGAGTGAAGGGGTCCAGGGACACACAAATGGATACACACAAATCCCAGGATTCCCCATAACTTTCCCTGTTTTCTGGAGTTTCGTCTTCCCCCCCCGCTTCCCATACTTTCCCACACTTTCCTTGGGATCGACGATCAACTGTGTCTGTCTGTGTGTCTTCCCCTCCTGACGTGAGGGCCCCGGCCCCCAAGACGCTGCACGAGGACTCCGAATCGCCGAACGATCGCTCCAGCCCAAGAGGGTTCCAAGACTAGGTCGGGCATGTCCCCCTGCAGGCGGATTTGGGAAGGAAAGTTGCGGGACGGGAAAATGACCACAGCCACTGCTTCTTGTTTGCGCCGCCTTCCAGCCGGCCGACAAAGAAGCAGTGGTTGTGGTCACTTCCCTGGTGCCAAGCTCAACGAAAATGACCAGAACCACTGCTTTGTTTCTGCGGGCTGGAAGGCGGCAACAAAAGAAAAGCAGTGGCTGTGGTCGTTTGCACGCCCCGTAAAGGTGAAAAATAGTCCGCACATCTTCAAAAGTTGTCAAACAATAGCAGAAACATCGTCACCCCACTATTTTTATGCTGTTTTTGGATATCCCACCTGCAGAGGGACGTGCCCGCCTTCATTCCAAGACGGTCCAGGAGGCCGTCGAGCAGGAGGCCTTCGAGCAGGAGGCCTTCGAGCAGAAAAATCGTCACACCTCTATTTTCATACTATTTTTGAATATCCCACCTGTAGAGGGACGTGCCCGCCTTCATTCCAAGACGGTCCAGGAGGCCTTCGAGCAGGAGGCCTTCGAGACGCCGCAAGTTTGGACAACCGAAATGGGTACCGAAAGAATGGGTACAATGCCCAACCAGAAATGTTGTCCCTTTCCAACAGCGGCCGCCGTTGGGCAGGCGACCTTCTGTCTCAAGTGGACACAGGCCGCGGCGTCGCGACAGCGAGTCCTGTTCAAAATGAACAGGAACTGCTGTTGGGCATTGTACCCATTCTTTCGGTACCCATTTCGGGCGTCCAGAGAAAGGGACCTCCCAAGAGGCCTCCGAGAGGGCCTCCGCTGGCCCCTGGCTCGCCGGCAGCGCAGGTGGCCCTGAAGCACTCCTCCTGCACTGCTCCTCCTCCTCCTCCTCTGTTCCTCCTCCTCCTCCTCCTCCTCCTCCTCCTCCTCCTCCTCCTCCTCCTCCTCCTCCTCCTCCTCCTCCTCCTCGTCTCATTACTATCAAAAATTACTCTCCAATTATATGAACTTAACACCAACAACAACAACTGCAACAACAACAACAACAACAACAACAACAACAACAACAACAACAACGCAAGGACACTCTCTCAGGCCACCCCGGCGGGGCCCGTGGGTGTGTCCTCGCCCCCGGGGCGAGCGCACTGCCCCAGGCCACACGTTGCAGTTGTTGCCCCGGGGGGGGGGGGGAGCAACGCGCAACACCTCTGTCATACGCTAACGAAAATCTATATGTGTTTCCGAATCTCCGTTGGTTCCCTTACTGTTCCCCACGCACTCCTGTGTCCGAAAACCGACCACGCGCCAGCGAGGCCAGCTCCTCCTCCTCATAGGACTCCTATGGAATCGCGCAGGACCCTGTAAAGATCCTATAGGATCCCTATAGGATTCCTATGGAATCGTGCCGGACCCTGTAAGGACCCTATAGGATCCAGCTAGGGTTCCTATGGAATCGTGCAGGACTGTGTAAGGGTCCTATAGGCTCCCTCCAGGGTTCCTATGGAATCGTGCAGGACCCTGTAAGGATCCTATCGGACCTCCTCTAAGGTTCCTATAGAATCGTGCAGGGCCCTGTAAGGATCCTATAGGATCCCTATAGGGTTCCGATGAAATCGTGCAGGACCCTGTAAAGATCCTACAGGATCCCTCTACGGTTCCTATGGAATCGTGCAGGACCCTGTAAGGATCCTATAGGATCCCTCTAGGGTTCCTATGGAATCGTGCAAGACCCTGTAAGGATCCTATGGGATCCCTTTAGGGTTCCTATGGAATCGCGCAGGACCCTGTAAGGATCCTATAGGTTCCTCCTCTATAGGACTCCCATAGAATCGTGCAGGACCCTGTAAAGTTCCTATAGGACCCCTCTAGGGGTCCTATGGAATCGTGCAGGACCCTGTAAGGATCCTATAGGATCCCTATAGGATTCCTATGGAGCCGTGCAGGACCCTGTAAGGATCCTATAGGATCCCTATAGGGTTCCTATGGAATCGTGCAAGCCCCTGTAAGGATCCTATAAGATCCCTAGAGGGTTCCGATGGAATCCTGCAGGGCCCTGTGAGGATCCTATAGGACCTTTATGAAGGTTCCGATGGAGTCCTGTAGGACCCTGTAAGGATCCGATGGGATCCCTATAAGGTTCCTATAGAATCGTGCAGGACCCTGTAAGGATCCTATAGGTTCCCTCCAGGGTTCCTATGGAATCGTGCAGGACCCTGTAAGGATCCAATAGGATCCCTCTAGGGTTCTTATGGAATCGTGCAGGACCCTGTAAGGATCCTAGAGGACCCCTATAGGCTTCCCATAGAATCGTGCAGGACCCTGTAAGGATCCTATATGATCCCTATAAGGTTCCAATGGGAACCTGTTGGGCCCTGTCAGGATCCTAGAAGATCCCTCTAGGGATCCGATGGAATCGTGCAGGACCCTGTAAGGATCCTATAGGATCCCTCTAGGGTTCCTATGGAAACGTGCAGGATTCTGTAAGGATCCTATGGGATCCCTCTGAGGTTCCGATGGAATCGTGCAAGACCCTGTAAGGATCCTATAGGTTCCTCCTTATAGCACTCCTATGGAATCATGCAGGACCTGTAAGGATCCTATAGGATCCTCTAGGATTCCAATGGATTCGTGCAGGACCCTGCACGGACCCTATAGGATCCCTCTAGGATTCCTATGGAATCGTGCAGGACCCTGTAAGGATCCTATAGGATCCCTCTAGGGTTCCTATAGAACCGTGCAGGACCCTGAAAGGATCCTATAGGATCCCTATAGAATTCCGATGGAATCCTGCAGGGCCCTGTGAGGATCCTATCGGATCCCTATAGGGTTCCGATGGAATCCTGTAGGACCCTGTAAGGATCCTATAAGACCCCTATAGGATTCTCATAGAATCGTGCAGGACCCTGTACGGATCCTATGGGATCCCTATAGGGTTCCTACGGGATCGTGCAGGACCCTGTTAAGGATCCTATTAGGATCCCTCTAGGGTTCCTATGGCATCGTGCAGTGCCCTGTAAGGATCCTATAAGATCCCTCTAGGGTTCCTATGGAAACCTGCTGGACCCTGTAAGCATCCTATAGGATCCCTCCAGGGTTCCTGTGGAATCGCGCAGGACCCTGTAAGGATCCTATGGGATCCCTCTAGGGTCCCGATGGAGTCGTGCAGGACCCTGTAAGGATCCTATAGGATCCCTATAGGATTCCGATGGAACCGTGCAGGACTCTGTAAGGATCCTATGGGATCCCTAGAGGGTGTTCCTATGGAATCGTGCAGGACCCTGTAAGGATCCGATAGGTTCCTCCTTATAGGACCCCGATGGAATCGTGCAGGACCCTGTAAGGATCCTACAGGTTCCTCCTTATAGGACTCCGATGGAGTCGTGCAGGACCCTGTAAGGATCCTATAGGATCCCTATAGGATTCCGAGGGAACCGTGCAGGACCCTGTAAGGATCCTATAGGCTCCCTCTACGGTTCCGATGGAATCGTGCAGGACCCTGCAGAGGGGTGTGCCAAAATGATCCTCGAGAGGGGTGTGCCATAATGAAGCCTCTGAGGAGCTCTCTGTGGAGCCAGGGCCACGATCCTCGAGAGGGGTGTGCCGAAATAAAGCCTCGGTGGAGCTCCCTGTGGAGCCAGGGCCACGATCCGTGAAAGGGGCGCGCCGAAATCAAACTTCGGTGGAGCTCCCTGTGGGGCCAGGGCCACGATCCTCGAGAGGGGTGTGCCCAAATCAAACCTCGGTGGAGCTCCCTGTGGGGCCAGGGCCACGATCCGTGAGAGGGGTGCGCCCTTTGGGGCCTGTATGGGGCTCCGCAGCAGTCCCGAAAGGACCTGCCGAGCAACGCCGCCGGGCCCTGCAGACCCCCGCAGCGGCCTGGCGAGGCCTCGTGGCGTTGCTCGGACCAGGGGCCCTGCAGGGCCCGCGCGTGGCCCCGTTGTGTTGCTCGGGGGGGGGGGGGGTCGAGCAACGGGCCTCCAGTAGTGTCCTCGCGAACAACAACAACAACAACAACAACAGCAGCAGCAGCAGCAACAACAACAACCACAACGACGACAACCACAACAACAACAACAACAACAACAACAACAACAACAACAACAACAACAACAACAACAACAACAACAACAATTACTAGCACGTGGGGACACTCCGTTCTCACCA